AAATTGGGGTAAGCTTCAGTTTACTGAAAGTCCCTGTGTACTCCCTACTCCCCATCCACTGTCCACTGCCACCGAATAGTATCCTCAATCTCTTCATTCCTTGATATCTAATGAATGGCCTCCCAAATAGGTATCATATCTTTCATTTGAATTGGAACTTAAACATGTGGATTGAGAGCATGATTGTAGGCCAACTAACTGATTCAACTGAATGATGCTAACTGATTCAACTGAATGATGTGGTATAGTTGAAAACATGGCATTTTTAAGGTTTTTGCTCCCTTCATCCCATCTGATGGATTCTGGTATATTATAGGTCAGTACTGATTGTTGTTTAGAGCCTTTTGGGTTGCCTATGCAATTATCGAATTTGCACCTGTATTATCTATAGTAGTGGAAAAGTTCTGTAGCTGGTCTACAGTGGTGGCAAAGTTCTGTAGCTGGTCGATAGTAGTGGCAAAGTTCTGTAGCCTATAGATTACTATGGTTGTTGTGATGCGAACTGATATTCCTAGTCTGTCTTAGCTTGGTGCAATTCAGATTCGGCGTTGATCTATACTGAAATAATTCTAATATTTTGAGTTTGACATGTAAGATCATGGAAACAATTAATGATGTGTTTTGATGAATCACGGGCTGACTCCGGAGCCATTTGATCCTAAATCCGAACCTGCCAGTCCTTGTAGTTAAGGTTGCAGTTGATTTTTCAGAATCATCTTGTCCGTCGGAATGATGGTATACGTGATCGCCTAGAGGTAGCACCAATTGAAGAAAAGCTTGTCCGACATCGGTTGAGGTGGTTTGGCCATGTCCAAAGGAGACCTCCAGAGGCACCAGTGCATTGTGGAGTCCCCAAGCTAATAATATGAGGAGAGGTAGAGGAAGACCGAAATTGACATGGGGGGAGGCAATAAAAAGATATTTGAAAGCTTGGGATATATCTAGAGATCTATGTTTGAATAGGAGTACTTGGAAAGAAGCTATTGAAGTGTCTGAACCTTGGGGCTCTTGGTGGGTTTCAACTCTAGCCTACCCCAAATTGCTTGGGACTAAAAGGCTATGTTGTTGTTGTTGTTGTTGTTGTTGTTGTTGTATCTTGTCCGTCGGAAAAACAAGGAGCCACCTCATCCAGAGCTGTGCTGACCCGGACAGCCTGATCCAACAAACCAAACAGCCTATAAGTGTCTTTAGTGGAACATTCAAACTGCTCTAGTGGGAATTTAACTTGGTGTCTGTATATCAAGTTTCAAGGTTCCCACCATCTTGGTTCTTTACTTCTGGTAATCAGTAGATTTGAGAAGAAAAACTTTTACAGAGATACCCTTAAGGATGATGATAGTTGTAATCATGCTAGAAAATTATGATTTGTTATGATACATTGATGGAATGAACATGGGGAAGTTGTTCTCGACTATGACAACCTAACGCTGTTCTGTTATGCTTTGACCTGATCCCTTTATTTGGGATAATACAATATCCATGGAGTGTTCCTTTTAAGTTATCATGATTCATCTATGAAAGTTGTTTGCAGTGCAATTGAGTTTACACTGTTATTGACATTACTTATTGCATCAGGTACAACATTAATTGGAATTATGGGTTACTTCCTCAAACATGGGAGGACCCGACTTCTGCAAATTCCGATGTTGAAGGAGCATTTGGGGATAATGATCCTGGTAATGAACATTTTTATCTCTTACCTTTGACAAACATGGTTTTCATATTAGCTTCACTTTCAATAAATCTTCCTTTTCTGTGGTTTTCTTTTCCAGTTGATGTTGTTGAGATAGGTGAAAGACGTGCCAATATCGGGGATGTTCTTAAGGTTAAACCATTGGCAGCTTTAGCAATGATTGATGAAGGGGAGCTTGACTGGAAAATTGTGGCCATTTCTTTGGATGACCCAAAAGCATCTCTTGTGAACGATGTGGATGATGTTGAGAAGCATTTTCCGGTATGACTGTGGTCCTTGTCCTCTTTTAGTGCTTGTCCTTGTTCTCCTTCAGTATCTATTTGCCGATCTCCCTGGTGGGAAGTGGGGCATGTCTCAATGTTGTGTCACTGTTATTGCTTCTTTTTTTCTTGAGAAAAAAAGTTTCATTGTTGTTACTAAGCATTTCTTTAAATTTCATGTCAGTTGAAGATTTTAAAAGCAAATAATGTACAGCATACTTGTTTTCTGTTCATGGTACTGAGATGCCTTCATATTATGCCGTTACTCACTACTGCTTTCTGCTTTTTAGTTTTTGGGCTTCAGCTGAAGAATCTGAAAGTAATAATTGGTATCAGACTTATTTTGCATTCATGTCACTGGAAAAGAGATAAATGCTACCCCCCCGTCCCTATAATGATCAGACTATAATAATCAGTTTGTCCCTGTTTTTCTGTGTTGTTGTGAGGCTTATATAGTTATATGTATTGAGTTCAATAACAGTCCACACTGCAATGCTGCACTTGCAGTCCATGTCCAGTTTCTCTTAGATTTGTTCTGACCATTTTGTAATATTTATTCAGGGGACACTGACTGCCATCAGAGACTGGTTCAGAGACTACAAGATACCTGATGGAAAGCCTGCCAACAGATTTGGTCTCGGCAACAAGCCCGCAAGCAAGGTAAGCCTGAACTCAACTTCTTCGGTTAGCCTGAAGCAGAGGTTGTTCTTGCAATAATATGGTATCCTTGTTTGTCTGAACTAGGAATATGCCCTGAAGGTCATTGAAGAGACCAACGAATCATGGGAGAAATTGGTAAAGAGGAATATTCCCGCTGGAGAGCTCTCGTTAGCCTAATCTTGGCCCATGGGAAGCCACCACATTCTTTGAACTGCTTTCATAAGCATGTCGTTTTGTATGCTGTCACCATGCTTCTTCGTTTGCATTCCAAACCTTTTTACGAACTGTTTAACAAAAATAATCTTGTCGGAAGAATAATGATTCTGGTGTGAGTTTATCAGAAGGGCAAGGAGTGTTTCTTAAGTAATGGTCATGTTTTCCAAACATAGAAACGTGTAATTTATGAAGTTGGAACACTATTGAACTGAGCAAAAGCAGTTTGAGGTCGTTAAGCTAGTCTTTCCACACCGTGCCTTGTGTTGGATTGTTACACCTACAAGTGAGAATACAGATGCAACATTGCGTCTCCAGAAGTTACTTGAAACCCGTCAATTCTACGATCGGCCTTGGTGCTCAAGAATTTCACGTGAACCTACAGAAATTTTCATGCCCAAAACAGGTCTAAACCGTGGAAATTAACCACTTTGAGCCTAAAGTAGCTGATTGATGCAAAGAAAAGGCCTCGACTTGCTTACAATGCCTTGCGCCAGCGTTACCAGATCCATATACACCTTCACTTGTACCTGCAAAACGTACTTAGGTTAGCACTAGACTCAAACTGTGTTCATGAACAAAATCAGCATCAGTGATTGAACAAAGCCAAAGTACTATATTATGTTTTGCAGCCATTGAGAACCCTCACATCTAATTATGACATGCCAAAATCATTACATCTAGATACATAGCAAAATTTATGTAAAAAAAAAGTCAAAACAACTTATAATTTGGAACGGAGTGAGTTCTTATGTTTTACGCCCTATGGCCCTAATCAATCAGCAGTGAACTGCTGACCACATATCTTTCGGTCGACTAAAAATTGAGCTGTCGAAGCTCACAAGTCACAACCTACAAGGGAATGAAAAGTGCAGGTCGAATCCACTACGACACTACCCAGTCCCAGTGGCTCAGATGCCGCAAGGATGTTCGGCTGCAGCTTATTTTAAGTGCAGCCAAACGCCGATGACAATGTGATTCGCTGATTCTACAGGCTGAAGCAACACAAATATCACAGAGTAAACCTTAATCCATGAGAGATTTACATGACAGTAGGGACTATGTGGATTCCATAACTCCTAAGAGCCATGAGCACCAAAACTACAAAGTGAGCAAATGCGCATGAAACAGATGGAAGTTTATATTTCGACCTACATGGCTTGAACCACTTCTAGACAATACTACACTGTTGCACATATCGGTTGAGCTAACTTCCAACAAATATGTTGGTCTGGTTTTACAGAATGTGCACATTTAGGAATTATACATGTGAGAATGAAATTGTACCAACTTACAGAATCCATCTGAAAAGGGCTGCTTCTTTAAAATCCCTCTCAAAATGCTGTTCCACTCAAAATTATCCAGTCCTAGATCTAAATCGGAAACTAAGAGTGCATGAAAATTAAGATGTCACCAGAATCAGAGTAGATTCACTCAATAGGAACGCAGTAAATAGCTAAATGTTATCTGGGACCTGAACCATGAATTATATAGGCCTAAACAAATTGAAATGAAGCTAATTTAGTTGCCTGAAGTTCAGCTCTTTGCAATCTAGCTGAATAAAACATTACTAGTTTAGTAACAAAGTAGAACTAGCAGTCCATTCCCACTGCAAGTTTCCAGTATGTCATGAACTGTGTTAAGGAACACTTGCCGTGTTATTATGCAAACAGGAGTTGGAAAATGCAACAGATTTATAATTTTGACAAAATAGTCCAACAATCAGGCAGAATGTTCGATTTCCATCTGACTCTAAACAATTTCTACTATAATTGACCCAACACTGCATTACAGAATGAGCAACAAGTTTAACATATTGACCTAATATATTAGGGAAGGGGATTTCCTACATACTACATGCAACATGTCATTCACACCTGAATTATGTCCCTAGGCCCTTGATGGTATCATTGAGCAAGACACAAATTTCCTTAGCCAGATCATGCCACCGCATTTGTGTTTTCATCTCTCCATCAAACTGCTTCCTCCACCTGGTTTCAATCAATCTGCCATTCCTTTTTCCATAGTAGTGACAGCCCCTTCTCCAGTGACAACCCCGCCAATGACCGCTCATTCCAGTACTCACGAAGCACCTCGGTGACCACTGGCATCTTTGTTGCTGCATCTCGGGCCTCAAGCACCTCGGTTACCACTGGCGTCTTGGTTGCTGCATCTCAGGCCTCTCGAGCCACAGTGTTGACAGAGCCCCACGCTTTGACACTGAGATCATGCAAGAGGCGGTCGTGCGCGGTGGCGGGTTCCCCCGGCGCCGAGTGCAGGAACCTGCTCCTGAAGCGCGTCAGCTTGTAGGACACATTGGCTTCGTTTATGTGCGGGGAGACGGAGTCCCTGATGGAGTCGAACAGCGCGCCCGCGTCGATGGGGAGCGGGGATCGCCCGGTGCGCTCGCGGAAGAAGGCGGCTGCGGCGAGGAGCGTGACCTCGTCGGCGTCGCTCCATCTCTTGGGATAGTTAGGGGCGACGCCATGGCATCCGTCGCCCGAGGGTTGGAGTCCCTGAACGTCGCCGCGGCCTAAGTCGACAGCGACGCCCGCCGATTCGAGACTCTGGACATCTTCATGCTCTCCGTCGACGTCCGACCAGAGCGTGGCCGCCGCAGCGGCAGCGAGCGCGACCACGGTGCTCTCTGCGGATATGCGGAGCCTGCGGGAGGGAGAGCCGCATGGGCTAGAGTTTGGGTCCTGGTGGCCGTCGCCCATGCCGAGCAGAGGGCTGAGCGAGCGCTTCTTCGAGCTGGGAGGGGAAGGAGGTGTGGGTGCCGCGTTGGCGTCCATGGAGAATGCAGATGACCGCTCCGACGGCATCGGCGCGTCGACGCGTGGCGAGAGTGCGGGCAAGGGCGCGCGCTGTGCGGTCAGGCGTTGATCGTCGGGGCAAGGAAGCGTGGGCGCCGCGTCGGCGTCCATGGACGATGCTGATGACCGCTCGGACGCCGACGGCGCGTCGAGGCGTGGCGAGAGTGCTGGCATGGGGCGCGCCCGGTGATCAGGCGTCGCTCGTCGGGGCAAGGAGGAGTGGGCGCCGTGTCGGCGTCCATGGAGGATGCGGATGACCGCTCGGACGGCAACGGCGCGTCGAGGCGTGGCGAAAGTGCGGGCATGGGCGCGTGCTCTGTGATCAGGCGTCGTTCGTCGTGGGAAGGAAGCGTGGGCGCCCCGCCGGCGTCGATGGAGGATGCAGATGACCGCTCGGACGGCACCGGCGCGTCGAGGCATGGCGAGGGTGCGGGCATGGGCGCGCGCTCTGTAAGCAGGCGTCGCTCGTCTTTGTAGCTCTCGTCAGCTCCTTGGTCCTCCGATTCATCCTCCGGAAGGGGCACGACGTCGAGGGCACCCCACACTCTGGACATCTGGTGGACAGGTCATGCACGCGGCGGTCGTGCGTGGCGGCGGAACTCGCCAGCGCACCGCACAAGAACTTTTCGAAGCGCGTCAGCTTGTCGTACGCCATGGCCTCGTCGATGTGCGGGGAGATGGTTTCCCTGAGTTGGTACAAGGTAATATACCCTTAATATCCAGGTTCACCCTATTCCTCTGAAACGAAGAAATTGATCAAACCTACTCTCTCTTGAGGAGTGCATGACCAGGGTAGATGACGTGGCTAGAGCGTGGGAGCTGGAGGGGCGCGGCGAGTGCAAGCGGAGCTCTAGGGTGCAACCAGTGGTGCAACACAGTCTAAGTGGGGGCGCAGTGCAGTGACGGTGGGCTAGGGTGAGCATGCAGTAGCCGTGATTAGTTGCAGTGAAGGAGAGAGAAGGGAGGAGAAAGAGGATAACGCATGGAGCCGTGTATCAAGGTCCTCAAGACATATCCATTTGTCTTCAAACCAAACACAAAACTTAGGACAATCCTGTCCCTCTAAACAAAAGCGAAATATAATCGACCCAAAAATCTCAACCAAACACGCTAATTGTCACTGGACTTGGAGGGAAGGTTATGGGTGCCTTTGAGGTATGGTGGGTGAATGTAGGGAGGGGACAAAAACAACACACAGAACCGCGATGACACATCAATTGTAAGAGAGAAATGCATCTCGCTAGCGATGTGGATCTGATCGACGTGATATTGAAGAGAAATTGACTTGCTGTTTCTTTTTTTTTAAGTATTGCTGGGCTTTTCGTGCCACCTATGAAAATGTCCCTACTCTTGAGAGTCGGGCCTGAAAAACACACAGTAGATAGGCCATGTTCGTTTCCCTAAAATTTATGTTTATGTTGATTTATTGTGAAAAGAAAATATTGTTCGTTCGTTGAAAAGTACTGCTGAAGTAGTGCAACAGAGCAAATGAGTAGTAGATTAATAGGAGTATTTCAGGCCCTGTTTGTTTTTCTCAGGCAAAAGTTTAGCCCGGTCACATCGAATGTTTGACACATACATCGAGTATTAAATGTAGACTAATTACGAAACTAAATGCACAGATTGAGACTAATTTGCGAGACAGATTTTCTAAGCTTAATTAATCCATGATTTGACAATGCGGTGCTACAGTAAACATGTGAATGACGGATTAATTAGACTTAATAAATTCGTCTCGTGAATTACTAAAAACTTCTGTAATTTATTTATTTTATTACTATCAAACATTTAATATGACATCCTCATATAATATTCGATGTGACATCCCTAAATTTTAGCCCCTAAATTTAAATACCCCTTCAATGTTGCGTAGCCTGAACAATTTCCGGACAGCATAAATAAATGCTAGTATATCACTGAACAGATTGAGCTAAATTCCAGAATCTGGTCTCAGATACTACTGCAGTGTCTGAAATAAATGATACTGAGCTAAATTCCACAATCCATCTGAAATAACAGTTGCCTTTCACGTCAAAATTCCCTTCCACGGCACTGTTCCCTCGACACAGGAATCAGGATAACCGGATCAGCATGGCAAACCGACAATTTCTGCATTTCCACAAGGATGAGGATCTGAGCAAAGAAATCATGGCCACCGCAGATCGAGTTTTTTCCTAGCCTTGATGAAGGTAAACAAAATGAAAACAAGATGGTTAGGTTTGCCGAAGCTTAGCCCTTTTACAGGCAAGCTGAATAGAACATCACTAATTCACTAAACAAGCTAGAATAAGCATGGCATTCTTGCCGTCCTGTTTTGTTACAGAAGTCAGACAATGCAACTGTGCTACAAGTTTTGAGAGAATGTTACAACAAATAGGGAATTTCAGTTTCCAGCTTCCTCTGAAGAACTTCTGCTGTAATTGACCCAACACTTAAAGCAATCACACCAACAAACAAGTAAACTAGAGAAGGAAGTCTCCTACAAACCAGATGCAAGACGAGCTAAGGGCCGAGGCCTTTGATGGCATCAGTGAGCAAGCCGCAGACTTCCTTAGCCAGATCATGTCGCCGCATCTGCGATTGCATCTCTTGATCAAGCTGCTGCCTCCATTTGGTTTCAATAAGTCTGCCCTCTGTTTTCCCCAGTAGTGACAGGCCCTTCTCAAGGGACACCCCTGCCATGGCTCGCTCATTCGTTTTCCAGTACTCGCCGAGCACCTCGGTGACCACCGGCATCATGGCTGCTGCATCCGGGACAGCACGTCGCTCGCCGACGTCCGAGTCGTCCTCGGAAGAGGGCACGACGCCGACGCCCCATAGGACGGAGCACAGGTCGCGCAGGCGACGGTCGCGCGGGCCGGCGGAGTGCTGGAACTTGCTCTTCAGGCGCTTAATCTTGTAGTACACCATGAACTGGTCGATGTGCGGGGAGATGGAGTCCTTAATGGACTCGAACAGCTCGGCCATGTCCGGGAGGCGCGGGGCTCGGCCGTTGCGCTCGCGGAAGGCAACGGCTGCGGTGAGGAGCGTGAACTCGTCGTCGTCGCTCCAGTGTTTCTGGGCGGCGCCGCGGCCTCCACCGACGCGGGCGGCCGCGGCTCCGAGCATCCGGATGGCCCCGTCGCCTCTTTCAGCGCGGGCGCGCGGGCGTCTGCGCCTCTCGACGGCGCCATCGCCCGCGTCGGAGCGGACGCCGGTCGCGGACGCGCGCGCGGCGGCTGTGGCGAGCGCGAGCGCGGCGGACTCCGCAGATGTGCGGCGCCTGCGCTTAAGCTCGCTACCGCGGGCGGGGGAGCCGCGGGGGCTAGGGTTTGGGCTCGAGTTGCCGTCGCCCGTGCGGGACAGCCGCTTCTTCGATCTGAGAGGGAAGGACGCCGTTGGCGCTGCGTCGGCGTCCATGGCGGATTCGGACGGGCGTCCGGATGACATCGTCGCGGCACGACGTGCGGGGGTCGCGGGGCGCGGCGGGCGGCGTGGGCGGCGTGGCGTGGCGAGGGCGTGCGCTCTATGGGGCGTGGACTCTGCCGATTGGGGTGGGGAAGTCGCCGGTAATCGATGCCACCGCGCTTCTATTGCCGCTGCGCCGGCTAGTTGCATTCCGTGATGTGCCCGCTTGCTTTGTTCGGTATTCGGCAACTTCGTCTTCACAAATCAGTCTCTCCCGAACGTGAAGTGCTTGAACTATGCGCCATTTTATAACAAACAAAACAAGCAAAAACAGGCAATAACACGATCGACATGAAATTCTCTTTTTTTGCTAGATTATTAAGAAATAATAAAGTTATCTGGTCGTTTGTATCAGCAGCTGAGAATGCACAGAGCCGTCGTTGGTTATTACAGCTTCCACCACGGGATAATAATCGATACTCTGAACACCAAAACGTTGGCATGGCAGCGAAGACAAAAAACAAGCCCGGTGTATTCCGCTAAAACTGACGTGCATAGGAGATTTGCCAGAGTTTTAGTAATACGATGTGTGTTTTCATCTTATTAATCTAGTCACCAAATACATGGGAAAAAAGAATATGGCAGTGTAAGATGATATCAACATGTAACAACGTCTATATGAATCCGGCAAAAAGAGATTGTTGACAATTATTTGAGCTAAGCAGTAAAACCGGCTAGGCCACGAGGTTGCCTCGTTCACTTAAGGGCTTGATTTCTAGGCCGGCTCGATCAAAAGTTGCTCTTCAAGCCCCGACACTAGAGTTGCTCTTCATCAATCTTCAATGAGAATAAGCACAAGAGCCTCTTACAAACAATCAACCTTAGGAGCTCCGGTCCTCAACAACCTCCAATGAGTACTCGACAGAGTCTGCTGCCTCTAAGTTGTCTAGGTGGTGGCAACCGCTAAGAATATTAAGAATCCTGCAGCCTCAGTGTCACTATATGCTAACTCTCAAAGTAAATGCACTGGATCATGCGTCTCTAGTCTCTCAAGGACGCAATCTCAACTAAGAAAACGTGATCGGAGAGTTTTCTTGAGCTATAGTTAGTGTGTGTATTTGTTAGGAGTGCCAAGAGAGGGTCTAAGGCTTGGACACACACTCTATTTATAAACCACATCAGGAACTATCCATTATACCCATTCCATGGGTCGAGCACATCCTCACTGGAAAGCTCCGATGAGGGGCATTGGAGTTTTGCATCCCGGAGCCCCCAGCGACTAGTTTAAACTAGCCATTGCATGGCCATTACTCAAGTGCAACTTCTTGGTTGGAATCAAAGGAATCTGGAGCCCACACAGATCCTTTTTGTGTGCGAAAAACAATATAGACATTTATTTATCAAGCTTCCAAGAAGGCGATGCAATGAGATGGGCCACAAGGTTGATAGATGTCCATACAAGCAAAATAATAAGCATAAAGCTTCTATGCTATGCTTGTAAGAAAGGCTTCACCACTTAAGAACCTTAGGAAGACCACAAATGGAGTTAACACTAAATGATGAGTTTGTTCAAAATCTTGTGCAAGAGTAAATTGTTCAGGGGCACCCAAACCTTTCCGTGGTCCTCACCGGAGCTTCCCGTGATTCACTTTGAAACCTCTCGAGCACTGCCTTCGCGGTTCTTTGCCACGTGTGAGGGACTATTTTTTGGTGCCCTTTTCTCTGATGGCACCGAAACAATAGGTATACATGTTAGCATTTACTGATTTTTCATTGCGAACCCTAAG